TGTACGCTTTGAAGATAGCTTGTTGCGAGGGGTCAAGAAGATCCTTGGGCATACCATCTTCCCACCGAATGAAAGGCACTGGATCTTTCGAGGTTGATGCTAAACGATGGTAGATGCCGTTGTCGGTAATGACGATCAAATGAGTTCTGGCCATGATCGCATCCATGTCTTCCTTTTCTTCAACACCTGCGAACGAAGGGTTGATGAGCTTCTTGAAGTTCTGGTAAGAAATCTGCCAAATCTTCGAAACGGACATTTCCTTGAAAACCTCGTTGTCAACCTCGTCGGCATACGGATTGTTACATGCGTGTCTGCCCGCTCCCTGTTCAAACTGTGCGGAAGAATATCTAGCCCACACCGTAGCGTCTTCTTCCTGGATTGAACAGGTGATGTTAAGGATAGTCGCGTGCAAAATTTGCTCTTATTCTCTTGGTGCACAGGTTGATGTGACTTTAAGTCGACTTGATTCGTAGGTAAACATTTGTTACGTTTCTAAACACAAAGCAAAGAAACTGATGGGTTCAAGAATGCCTTGAGGAAGGAAGCATCCATGCGTTGGAGCATCCCGTCATCGAACACGCCGGGCTTGAACTTAGTCAGGGGTTCCGCCTTGAAAAAGTCAAGATGTTTCGCGGTGACGATTGAGGGTACAAGGTCACTGCGATCCGCCATGTCGATTTCATACTTGGACTGGACGAATAGAACCGTTTTGGAGCCAAGCGATTTTCCAGTGCGAGTGCGCCCAATCCAGGTCACACCGTGTTGACGCATTGTCGGGAGCATCTTTGCGATCACGTTGTCCAAGAACCAACCCACAAAGCTTTTCAATGTAAACGGCCAAAACTCGAGCGTTTTTGCGTTTTGACGACCTTTCATGTAATTGCCGAGCGCTTCCTTGACTTTCCCCTCACTCCAACCCTCAATCTTGCCACCGGGCATGTGCACCTGTTCGTCGGTCCATTCCATGAACTGATTTCTGTTATTCGCCCTAGGACCGAACTCGCGAATAAAACGATATCCTTCCTCACGAGCTTGTTGATCAACTGTGAGCTTCTTTTCGAACTTCGGCTTCACCAACCAATGACGTAGCTGTTTTCCTCCTAAGCGGTCCATCATGTAGTTTAGACCTGACAAAGCGAGTCTCGTTTGACTGCCCCAATCAAAACGAAGTGGATTACCATGACACATCGCAATGGCATCCTTAGCATTGATTTTGTTCTTGTGGAGATACACGTGCTTAAAGATGTGGACGTATGCTCCGTTAGCGTCTCCTTCAGAAGGTGGGGCTGTAGACAAGATGATGATCTGAAGCGTGTAAGGCACCATAGGCTCCTTTTTCAACGAGAAAGGTTCGGGTAGTTGAGCATACTTGCCTTGGTAGCAAATCTTGTAGATGTTCTCGAACATGCCGTCGGTGACATCGAGATGATGATACATCAGGCAATCTGCGAACTGTTCAACTTTGGTGCTGGAGCTATCAAGCTGACGAACGGGGAGGTCACCGATGCCTATGTCGCCGAGAGTGCGATCGCTTTTGATCGGTCGAGTTTCAGGTCCCTGAAGTTTCAAACCGGTCACATGCGCACACGCCTCGTCGAAAGTGAGATTTCCATCCTTGCCACCCTCCTGGTTCACAAAACTAGCCATGGCAAGATCTGTCTTGCTATTTTGCACTTTCAGCAGCCAAAACCCTGCAGGAACAACGCCGCAGCTTTGAGTAATATGTCTTGTGCCGAGAGAAATCCCAAAACCCAAGATCAAAAAAACAAAAGCCCCAAAACCAAAACCCCCAAAACCAAAAAAACCAAAAAAACCAAAACCAAAAAAACCAAAACCAAAAAAACCAAAAAGATTAAAAAAACCATTATTTCAGAACTCTTCCATTTGTGAATGTTTCTAATTATATTCTGTAGGAGTACTGAAATAATGGTTTTTTTGGTTTTTTTTGTTTTTTTTGGTTTTGTTTTTTTTGGTTTTGTTTTTTTTGGTTTTTTGGTTTTGGTTTCTTGGCATTGATCAAAACAGCAAAAACGCAGCGGACAGTTTTCGGCCTCAAACCGAAATTACAATTCAATTCAGTGAGGTTTTATCCGACTTTTCGGTTACCTATTTTGTAGCTGGATCCTATGATATACAGCCGGTTAACCAAAAACGGAACTACAACAGAGTGTTTGGGTACACTCTTCACTGGCAAATCGCCATGGAAGTTGACCCCGTCACCTTGATGCCGCCTCGAAGGCCGAACCCTGAACCGTTCAGGGTTCAGGAGTTTGGGGTTTAGGGCTGGAGCTAAAAAGAGAACTTCAAACCCTGAACGAACTGCTTAGACATGCAGCATAGAACACAGCACTTCCCAAAGAGTAGCCTGTCTCAAAGCCGGTTGAAGATTCTTGAACATCCGGATTGAACACAATGTGTGCAAGAGCTTGTCAAACCTTCAACCCTGAGCCCCAAACCCGAAACTTAAAACCCTAAGCATTCAACTAAGTGAAAGCGGCGGCGATGCAGGTGAGGAAGCTCGTGGAGCATTTATCCAGAAATCGAACCTCCGCCGGTTTAGGGTTTAGGTTTAGGAGTTAAGAGGTATGCACGTATTGCAGGTGTGGCCGCAGCTTAAGTGCTCCTTTAGGGACCCCCCCAATTTCAGGCTACAGGGAGGGTCATGCTCGGCCTTGTACTTCTATGGTACCTTTAGACAAGCGATCCGTGGGCTGTCATGCTAAGACCGAGTAAGCCACTAGCTGTACGGTCTTTGGGGGGCAAAGGGGGTGCAGTGTGCAGAGGAAAAGATAGGAAATAGTTACCAAAATACCGTAAACAGTTCGGGGGGACCTGAAACCTACGCGAAAGCTTACTACTTGTAATAGGATGACATGGGTTTAAGACTTAGTGGTTTAAGGGCTGGGCTTTGTGGGCTTTCCAGAAACGGCATCCAGGGCACAAAACCCCCCCTACCCTAAACCCTAAACCCTGAACCCTAAATCCTAACCAGGTGAAGGCCTTCTTCACCCAGTGGACGTTGACCTCTCGGTAGGTGTCTCGCCGAAGCTGTGGCGACATTCCTGGCAATTGGGCGTGGGGGGGTCTGGGATAGACTCTAAACCTAACCCTCAACCCTTTAAGCTTGAAAAACCTAAACCCAGGACCCCAAATGTCAATCCCCTGAAGCTTACAGAAGCTTACACTACGCAATCTCCTAGGACTGGAGTATCCCAGGTGAACTAAAGGCTCACCTTTGGGATTACAAAGGGTTTATTATGATAGCACCCTAAAGTTTAAAAAGGTAAAGGTTTCCGATTCTACTACTAAGTCCTGAACCCTAAAACCCTAAACCCAACCCTGAACCCTAATCCCTAAACAGTATGCTGCTCCAGCCAAGGTTCGCTCTAAGATCTGTTGCCAGGCTTCATACCTTTGGCGGCTTGAGAGGCTCGAGGGGGTTTAGGGTTCAGGGTGGGGTGGACTATATGGGATTCTTGGAGAGTCATGGGGGAAGGCTGTAAGTGCCGCTACTGGGGTCGGTTAGAAGTAGCTGCAGCTTTTTTCCCTGACCTTATTTACCACTGTTGATGATATAAATCCTTCATTACCTTAAGGACCCTAAAGTAATAGGGAATTACGGTATATTCCTTATCATGGGTAATGCAGGATTTATATCATCAACCGTAGGGCCCCTTTATCCTTTCAGTAGGGCACTGGGTTTGGTTTCAGGCTTTAGCATTCGAGGCTCAAAGCCATGGTTTAGCTTGGTTTAGCTGCGCTTTTAGGTTCTTGTGAAGATAACGGCGCCGAATTCAGGGCTCGAGGGGTCACTGATTCGCGAAGTAACCTAACTCTAAACCCTAAAACTGAAAAATGACCTCGACATCCGTGACTTAATCGTAGATGCAACCCGCCCTACAGCTAAAAACTTCAAAATCCATTGCTAGCTCAAAGCTTGCCAAGACATTCAGTCCTAGGATTTGGGCTCCCTGGGCAAAGCCCAAACCCTGTAAGCCCCACAAAAGCCTGGAGGATCTTAACCGAAGCCTAATTCACCCCTATCAAAGCCTGCAGTACCCTGAAGAGAAGCTTCCAGTAACCACATTAACGCTTTCCAATAAAAAAACCCGAACCTATATCTAGATCTATATATATATATGTGTGTGTGTATATATATATATGTATGTATGCATGTATATACATACAGACTTATCCTCTAAACATATACAACACCCTGTTCATACAGCAAGCTGAAAGAATCCTTACAGAAACCTTAGCCACTTCAAGCGGCTCGTGCTGCGCCGTGGAGCGGAGGAAAAACTTCCGGAGACGGACTTTCATCTCGTGGGGCAGACTCAACCTGCGGTTTTGAGATTCAGGGGTTTAGGGTTTAGGGTTTGGGGTTTAGTTAGGGTTTAGGGTTTAGGGTTTGGAGTTTAGTTAGGGTTTAGGGTTTAGGGGTTTAGGGCTTTGGTGTTTTACGGTTTAGGGGTTTAGGGGTTTAGGGTTTAGGGTTTCGGGTTTAGGGGTTCGTGTTTAGGCTTAGGGCATGCAAAAGGTTTACATACTAGAGGGGTTTGGCGATGTGAGTGTCTAATTCAGGGTTAGAAGTCTTTGCAGGGAGCTCTGGAATTTGGCTGGTGATTTCGTGGGTATTTCTAGTAGAATCTTAAGAGGTTTATAGGCTGTTTGTCAGGACTTTTCAAGTCTATAATCATGTATCCTACAGGAGTATATGGGGGTTGGTAGGCCTTAACATACCGGCCTTCAAATAAAATATAGCGTTTTAGGGCATGTTGTGTTCAATTGGAGTGCTTGTAAGGGATTACTACTAATCCCTGATAAAGACCTCTGGAGTTTAAGGGTTTAGGGTTTAGGGCGGCTCTTGATTACACGTTTGCACATCAGGTACATCAACCTGGTAATAAGGGCTGGGTTTATTGGGCCAGCAAACCTGGAACCCTAAACCACATCACCTAGTGGCTTCTTGACTTCCTTTGCATGTTCTATTGAAGGAGCAGCTCCGGGACATGGCTTAGGTTCTTCAGGGTAGGGCTGGGGATTGAAGGGCACGGGTCTCCTTAAGTCTAGGACATTTTAAGGTGGGTAGTTACCGTTATAGGAGCCTTATAGAAGGTCTATCTACCTTATAGAAGCCCTATATACCCTAAACTCCCCACCTGTAGCTTCCTTTTTACGTAAGCGCATTTTTACAGCCTTAGACTGAACCCCAGTGTACGAAGTCTTCTGGGCGACCTGAACCCTAAACCCTAAACCCAAAGACCTAGATCCCCAAACCCTAAATTATCGCTGTGATTCATGGCTTAGGGCTTACCCTGAAACCCTAAATGAACCCTAAACCCTAACTAAACCCTAAACCCTAAATCCTACACTTTTAAACCCTGACTAAACCCTAAACCCTAATCCCGAACTTTTTGTAAAACCCTAAACCCCAACTAAACCTAAACCATACGTCCTATTTTTTACAATCCTAAACCCCAACAAACTGCTTTTAAAGCCCTAAACCCCAACTAAACCCTGAACGATACATCCTATTTTTTAACCATAAACCCCAACTAAACCCTAAACCCTACATCCTAAATGCTTTTGGAACCCGAACCCATCTAAACCCGAAGCTCTACATCCTAAACTTTTTTACACGCTTAACCCCAACTGAACCCTACACCCTACATCCAACTGAACCCTACACCCTACATCCCAATTTTTTCGGAAACCCTAAACCTCAACTAAACCCTAAACCCTACATCTCAAACTTTTTGTAAAGCCCTAAAGCCCAACTAAACCCTAAACCCCACATCCTAAACTTTTCGAAACCCTAAACGTCAACTAAACCCTATATAAACCCTACATCCTAAATAGTTTTTAAAACCCTATACCCCAACTCAACCCTAAACCCTAAATACATCCTAAACCCTGAACCCTAAATACACCCTAAATAAACGCTAAACCCTAAATAAACCCTAAACCCTAAACCCTTAATAAACCCTAAACTCTGAAATTTGAATACACCCTACACCCTAAATAAACCCTAAAATCCTGAATACACCCCAAACCCTAGATACATGCTAAAATCCAACCTGGCGCTTCGGGTCTTTCGGGCTCCCTCGCCTCTGGGGTCTCGGCTCTTCTGTGTCCACTAAACCCTTTTAGGGTTTAGGGGTTTAGGGTTTAGGGTTTAGGGCCTAAACCCTAAACCCAAACCCTAAACCCTTTTAACTCTAAACCCCTAAGCCTCAAACCCCACACCCGAAACCCTTAACCCTAAACCCCTAAACCCCAAAACTCCAAAGCCCTTAACCCTAAACCCCAAAGCCCCAAACCCCTAAGGACAGCCCCAAGGATGGATTGCTTGATGTGCGCATCGCTCTCACGATTTGGGATAAGGGCCTCCAGACGGTATAGGGAAAAACTGGCTATACGGTACTGTGAGTGTATTGCATAAGGATGCTAAGCTGCTAAGAGCTGAGCATCTTGCTGCTCAGTTTCGAGAAACCGTAATTAAACTGACGCCCTTCCGGGTTTGGGCTTTCACAGCGCCTATCGGCGATCATATTGAGATCGTCCATGGTCTGCTGATGGGCCAGCTGATGCGCATTCCTTAGCTTAGCTTCCACGTTTTTGGA